CGTCTCAGTTCGCCAAGATGGTCGAGGCCCAGATGGCCCGTATATTCCGGCAGCTGACGGCGGGCCAAGCCTCAGCGTCGCTGCATCGACAGCTTGTCGCCGCCTTCGCGGAGGACTGGGTCCAGCTCAAGTCCAACAGCACATGCTACCTTTGTCTGCGGCGCGCTCCGCAGGTCTTTCCCGCGTGCGGCCACGGTCACTGTCTAAACTGTGTCGAGGTATTTGGCATCGCAAGCGCGGCCGACCCGTGGCTCATCGAAGTGGCCGAGTGCATCCTCTGCGGACAAAACGTTGACATGCAGGTACATGTGAAGCCGGACACCGCGTCGGTGCGGGTCTTGTGTATCGACGGCGGCGGAACGCGGGGCAAGTACCCCCTCAAGGTATTGAAGCAGCTCGAAGACGACATCGGGCTGCCCGGCCATCCGGTACAGCAGAACTTTGACGTCGTCTTCGGGACGAGCTCAGGTATGTCGCGGGATGCTGTCGTTGTTGCAGTGCAGATGGGGGCGACTCCCCTGGCTGACCGATCGCGACAGGTGCCATCAGCGCCGGCGCCCTCTGCATCAACGGGTGGACGGTGGATGAGTGCATCGCCCGCTTCGAGTCCCTTTCGAACGATGCGTTCACGCCTCGCCGGGTTCCGTCTGTTCCCATCATAGGCCCTCTCATACGACTGATGATGCGGATCCCCTTTTTTGCCACAGTTGTGCGTACCGCAGCCTTGCTTCTCTTCGACAGCAGGTACCCGTCGAAGCACATCGAGAAGGCTTTGCGAGACATGTTCGGCTCCGGCAGAAGCATCGCCGACTACTCGGCGGCCGACACGATGGGTGCCATGGTTGGCATGACGGTTGCTACCGTGCAAGACGCAAGCGCCTGCATCTTCACCAGCTACAACGGAGTGGGCCAGCGGGCCGGCGATCGCGGTAGCCTCCCCATCTCCCTGTCTTCGTCCCCGTCTCCGTCGAGGCCATTCGAAGCCCGCAAGCTGATGCTAACGGACTGTATAGATTATGAACTCTTGAGGACGACCGCCGATGGGGACCGCCTGGCTTTGTGGGAGATGTTTGTGGTTTCCAGCGTGGTTCTATGCGAGGCCTGTGGCTTCCGGTGACTAGATGGCTAATCCGGTTTGCAGTGTCCGATGTGCAACCGCTGCTCCGTAGTCCGTGCCAGTCCTTTTTGTTTTCTTTTTGTTGCTTTTTCTCTCTTCCCTTTTTTGTCTTTTTCCTCTTTCTCCTTCTCTCTTTCTCTTCTTCTCTGTCTCTTCTTCTCTGTCTCTTCTTCTCTGTCTCTTCTTCTCTGTCTCTTCTTCTCTTTCTCTTCTTCTCTCTCTCTTTCTCCTTCTATTCCTTTTTCCCTTCTCTTCTTGCGTCTCGCTCTCTTTTCGCCATGCTACAATTGGATGGCGCAAAGAATGACCACAACCGAGTGCTGCGAAACGCCGCTAACAATGCCACAGCTATTTCACGCCTTGGTCTATTGACGGCCTCGGCACCTTCCAGGACGGCGGCTTAGTGGCCAACAACCCGTCCTCGATCGCGCTGCAAGAGGTGGCCTCCCTTTTCCCTGAAGCGCCAGACCCAAGCCTTCTGGCCTCGATGGGCACTGGCTCCTCCTCGAGCTCGCCCAGCGGCGGGTGGCGGGACTGTTTCCTCTTCCGCCTGGCGCGAGCGTTCCGGAACCGCGACAAGAACGACTGGCAGCGGGTCGTCGCACAGAAGAAGGTGGGTCGATCCGGTGAGTTCTTCCGCTTCGATGTCGAGTTCGACGGCTCCGAGCCGCCATTGGACAGCTTGTCCAGCTTCGACGACGAAGAAGATGATGGGTGCACCTTTGAAGGCCTCCCCGCCCTAAGACGTTTGGTGTTGTGC